TCAATAAATAAAAAAAAAATAAATAAAAAATAAAACAATACCACAATAAAAATAAATAAATAAAATAAAAAAAAAAAAATAGTTGGGGTTGGGAGGGGGAGCCGGGGGGAGGGAGAAGATGGTCACTTTAGGACTTAATCCTGGCTCTGCACGCAGGAATCACTCATGGTGGTACTCCGGAGACCATACGGGATGCCGGGGATCAAAAGCGAGTCAGTCGTGTGCCAGGCCAATGCTCTACCCATTGTGCTATGGCTCTGGCTCCACAAGATAGTTTTTGCTGAAACTTAATTAGAAAGATGTGAGGGGCAGGAGAGCAAAATTGTCCACAAGAGAGCACGGGCTTCTCCAGAGTGGAAAATAGGCAAGCAGAGAAACAGAAAGACAAGCAAGCAAGATGAGAAACATGACACAAAAGAGAAAGAAGATGTAAAAGGATCCTTATTTCCAAAACCACATCAAAAGAGTCAATTAAGGACAGCTTTGTCCTGTTCAATTCTACTATTCTTTTTTTGTTGGTTTTGTGATGTGATGCAAGATAGTTTCCATTAATGAAACCTGCTTAGAAAGATGTGAGGAGAGGAAGAGAGGAAAAGTGTTCAGAGAGAACACAAGATTTTAGGTGGAAATAGCAAGCAAAGAAAATAAAGACAAACAAGCAAGATACATGGAGAACACGCGCTTGAAGAGCAAGCCTGTTGTTTCTATCTCTTTGATCTTGGGGGTCACACTCAGCTACTCCCAGGGGTTACTCATGGCTGTGGACTCAAGAATTGCTCCTGGTGGTGCTTGGGGGCAGGGCAGACCATACGGGATGCCAGGGACTGAACCTGGGTTGGCTGGGTTCTGTACTTTACATATCTTTTTCCTCACAACTGATAAAGAAAAGCATTTGTTGGCTATGCTAGCAAGATTCAAAATTCTTTATCTAGAACCTATTTAAATATTAGAAATTTTATACTCATTCATTAGTTTAAACCCTGAAAACATAGTTCTTGTACTAAAAAGTTTGATTAAATATTGTAGTGAAAATTAGCATACATAATATTTTAAACAAATGTTATTTACCACAATAACATCTCTAACTTCAAAAACAGAAGCAAATATACATATAGAATATATTGTTTATTTATTGGGCCTACAAAGCTTGGCAAGCAATGAATTACAGATTCAAAATTCCATAGCCAACTTGAGTATGTTCTATCAGTAAGGAGCCAATATTCAAGTATCAAACATTGGTGTACAAGAGAATCACAGCTCTAAAGCTTATTTTTAAAAACTCTTAACGCTGAAACCTCAAATATTTATCAACTCTTAAATGCAGTTCAGTATTTGTCCAATAGATGTCTTCACTCTTCTATCAGTGAAATGAAAGGTACTCTAGTAAACAGAAATACAGTCTTTCATACAAAATAAGAGAAGAGAGGAGAGTGGGGGGGGAGGGAGGAAACGTCATCATTTGAGGTGCTGAAAAGAGACAGGGAAAATTCAAATAGTGACTCAAATTTAGAATTTTTAATTTTTTACTGATTTCAAGATTTTTGTTTACTTATCTAACCAAGAATTTAATTATATCTCTTTCTGAACTGCTTTTATAACATTCTCCTATCAGTTACTTTTTGTTCAGTGCTGACTCACAGCTTATTACAAAAGACATATTCAACACCAATTAACTTAAGATTATATTACAAATTTTTTACTTAATTTCTCTTTTTATCTTTTTTTTTTTTTTTTTTTGCTTTTTGGGTCGCACACAGAGATGCACAGGGGTTACTCCTGGTTCATGCACTCAGGCATTACTCCTAGCCGTGTTCAGGGGACCATATGGGATGCTGGGAATCGAACCCGGGTTGGGCCTCGTGCAAGGCAAACGCCCTACCTGCTGTGCTATCACTCCAGCCCCTCTCTTTTTATCTTTTATAAGCAGCTCTTTATTTCATGTGAAGTTTAATTTGGTGTAAGTAGGTAACTTTTTCAGCTGTATAACTGTTATCCAAAACAATCATAATTAGATCAAACTATATTATTTCTGGTTTCTAAGTCTGTGTCACTGATTGATGATTTGGTACTTAACGAAACATGGTATTCACATCACTGGCTTTAAAATACATACATAAGGATATAATATACAAATGTCCCTGCATTGGTCTTATAAATTATAATGCCACGTGAGCATGTCTCACAAGTTTTTCTATTGGGGTTACATTATATTTAAACACTTTGGGAAAGGTGACATTTTTATAGCAATGCCCCCATCTATAGTGTAATGAAAACTTAGCCCTATCTTTCCCTTTACCATTGCTATTGTTTGTCCCATTTTCTTAAGTAAGTGGTGACCTCACATTTTCAGAACAATGTTAAATACCAATGATTTCTTTTTTTTGGGGGGGGGGGTGCTTTGGGGTCATAACTGGCCATGCTCAAGGGTTATTCCAGTTTTGCACTCAGGGATCACTGCTAGTGGTGCTTGGAGGACGATACCAGTTGCCGGGGATCAAACCCAGGTCAGGCGCATTCAAAGCAAGCATGCTGCCCACTGTACATCTCTCCAGCCCCAGCACAACTATCTCTGACTTCCTCCTACGCTGGATGGGTCTAGTTATGTCACAATAAATATGGCAATGGCTATAAATTTGTGATAAGTGCCTGCAGCATACATTTACTCTGCTGTTATTTACTTTACACTATAAAAGTATCAATCAATTCTTACTTTGAGTTCATTCAGGTTAGTTTTCATTACAATGTCTATAAAGTTTTATCCATTGTATTTAAAGATACCAAATACAAATTCTCTTTTTCTTCTATTACTGTCACTGTCACTGTCCTGTCCTCCCGTTGTCCATCGATTTGCTTGAGCGGGCCCAGTAACATTGTGAGACTTGTTGTTACTGTGTTTGGCATAACCAATGCGCCACGGGGAGCTTGCCAAGCACTGCCGTGTAGGCAAGATACTCTCAGTAGCTTGCCAGGCTCTCCAAGAGGGGCGGAGGAATCGAACTCAGGTCGACCAGGTTGGCCGCAAGCAAGGCAAACGCCTTACCCGCTGTGCTATAGCTCCAGCCCCTTCTACTTACTATAAATTATAATTATATAAGCTCTCTTGAGCCATTCTGGCATTCCCAGAATAAACTCCTTTTGGCCAGAATAAGGTAAAGGTAAAGGTAAAGGCCCTCCCGTTGATCGTCGATTTGCTCGAGCGGGCCCAGTAACGTCTCCATTGGAGACTTTGTTGTTACTGTGTCTGGCATATCGAATACTCTCGGTAGCTTGCCGGGCTCTCCGAGAGGGGTGGAGGAATCGAACTCAGGTCGGCCACGTTGGCCGCTTGTAAGGCGAACGCCCTACCGCTGTGCTATCGCTCCAGACCCGATATTATCCTTTTATAAAATGACACAGATTTTTTTATATAAACCAATGTTATCTCAATTAAAACAAAACTAATTTTATATCCTTCATCTTATATATACATATGACATATAACTCATATGTAAGATTTTACTTTGTTTCTTAACCTTCATCCTATTTTAGCATCCATCACATTTACTGAAAAAAAAAAAAAAAAACGTAAAGACTAACCATTAGTCAAAAGTGTCTACTAAGTATTTGAAATGTGACTGAGATGACTGAAGAATTGCATTTTAAATTTGATTTAAATATAAGTACTTTAAAATTAAACTTAATTAAACAAACTGAAGTTTAAGTATCTAATTTAATCATGTATTGCCTATCACATAAAAACTGTATTTTTACAAAACATTGAATTTCTCCTTCAAAAAAAAACAAGTCTTCGCTCCAAATTCAGACTTTTTAACAGAAGGAAAAATTATGGGACAAACTATTAGTAGTTTAGAAGCATTCTGAAAAAGTTGATATTTTGCTGCCATCAGAATATTGCATTTTTTTAACCTCCTTCCTCATACCTGAATTTAAAAGGAGGAATTCAACTCAGGGGCGGTGGGCCAGCAGAAGGGTTAGGGCATTTGCTTTGCCATGAGACCACCCCAAGTTTGATCCCTGGCACCACATATGGCTCCCTGAGCACCACCAGCAGTGATCCCTGAGCGCAGAGCCAGGAGTAAGCCCTGAGCTCACTGGGTGTGGCCCAACACCCCATCCCCTAAAAAACAAAGGGGATTATTCAAACTAACCATAGCTCTGAGACTTGGTTTCCCTTCAAATATGTGAATGCAATTAACTCTGACCACAAATAATTAAAAAGGTAAAGGCCCTCCCGTTGATCGTCGATTTGCTCGAGCGGGCCCAGTAACGTCTCCATTGGAGACTTTGTTGTTACTGTGTTTGGCATATCTTACTTACTTACTTACTTACTTACAAATAATTAAAGCTATACATTTCCCTTAATTCAATCTAAGATGAATTCTTGTATATTTTTTCTTGAAATTAGCTTGGAAAAGTAAAAATGTCTCAACAGTGCTCCCTTCAGCTGCACCTATACTAAAAATTTATCAACAGTCACAGTGATCAGCGCAAGTCTGAGTTTCCTCTCCCCCATACAAGTGACAGCAGGCCTGCAGGTTCTTCCTCAGTGTGCCTTCCCTGGCAGCCAACGATTTTTATCACGTATCCTTGATAACAAGGCAACAGTTTCTATGGAAACCACAGAGCAAATGTCCATTACTGCTGCCAAGGACTATGAGCACACCTACATTGATATGTATTGACTTTCGAAAATGACTGCTCTCTTATTAATGTTTTTACCTTGAACAACAGCTACCTACTGTGGTGCTGGTTTTCTTGCACACATCTCTGTGAACAAATAACAAAGCAAGGAAAGTCTGCGGCTCTGTAACAAAATTAAGCTACCCAGCACCAGGAAATGTCATTGCATACGTGAGAGCACAAAGATCCTGGAAGCACTGAACTGCTCAAGAGATTCTCCTTCACTGGTTCAAAAGAACACAGGAATTTATCTAGGAAAAGATGCTGATGAGCGAGGGGCAAAGAGGGAGGTTAGAACAGATGAAGAAATGGTCACTGACCTCTCTCAACATATTATTCTCTTTTTCTTTTTGCTCCAAAAGGCTTTCGAGGTGGTGGACATGCATCTCCGCCTCCGCCAGCCGCCTTGTTCTCTCGTGGTCTTCCTCGGTCGCCTTTGCAGAAAGCCCTTTGCTCTGCAGCATCTCCAGGAGCTTCTTGATGGACTCGTCCCGCGCATTAAGGGTTTGCTTCTGAGTCTCGATGCGCAGCTCCATCTCCTCCAGCGTCTTTCGGAGCAGGAACAATTCTTTGGCCTGCCGCTCGTGCTCAGCATGCAGCCTCTGGAAGTTCTCCTCCGTCAGCTCGGCCACACAAGGCTCCCCAGTCCTGCTGCTACTATCCTGCTGAAAGAGCTGGTTCAAGTCCCGCTGGATCCGCAGCTCATCCTGGAGGGCCTGGATGGTCATCTGCATGTGCTGCAATGGAGACACAAAAAGAAAACCTTCGATCAGCTTTCCTCCTCAAGCACCAAAGAACGCAGCTGGTTGGAGGAGAGCTGGAAAGTGGCGCACAGGGCTTACAGAACCCTGCGCTTGGTAAATCAGGATTCACAGCATTCTTTTACATTGTCTTTAAAAGTGATTGAGGCGGCTGGAATGATAGCACCTCGGGTAGGGCGTTTGCCTTGCACGTGGCCAACCCAGGTTTGATTCCCAGCATCCTAAATGGTCCCCTGAGCACTGCCAAGAGTAATTCCTGATTGCAGAGCCAGGGGTAACTCCTGAGCATCGCTGGGTATGACCCAAAAAGAAAAAAAAAAAGTAATTGAGAGATTTTCTGGTATGCAGGGGGGCACTATTCTATGTAAAGATACATGGAAAAGTCAAACCCCAGATGGCTAGCTTCATTTGCCAAGTTCTACTTAATCAAATCACTTCTCCTGGAATAAATGAGTAGCCAAGGAGCTACTTTAAGCAAATCACTGGTCTTCCAGGGTTAAAGATTCACTCCCAAGTTATTCTCTATGAAGTGCTACCAACTGGATATATATATGTATATATATATATATATATATATATATATATATTACTCAACAACTAACTCAGAGCTTTGTCAGTAGATATCCACCAACTTGCACCCTTTGTTCCATGTTCCAAGTTCAGCAGTGATCCAAGTTTCACATATTTAAGATGTCCTTTAAACTAGTAATCACCTATGAGAATCACTGTCACTGTCCTCCCATTGTTCATCGATTTACTCGAGCGGGCCCAGTAACGTCTCCATTGTGACAATTGTTATTGTGTTTGGCCTATCGAATACGTCATAGGTAGCTAATCTATAAGAATAACCTGGGACAAATGTAAGAAGTTCCAAAATTTAGATCCATATCCAGAAGTTCTAAGTTGACTGGTCTGGGACTGACTTTGTGAAGGACTCTTTCTGTTTTTCTTCATTTTATTTTAATTAATAACTATTTCTGTATGTGTAGTCCCAGGAAGCAAGCCCAGAGCTTTACTCATGCAAAACAAGCACTCTATTGCTGAGCTAAAACCCAGCCCTTTTGTTGTTGTTTATTATTGCCATTTTTAATTTATTTCATTGTATCACTGTATCACTGTCATCCCATTGTTCATCAATGTCCTCGAGCCGCCAGTAACGTCTCTATTTGTCCCAGCCCTGAGATTTTAGCAGCCTCTGCTTACTTGTCTTTCCCAACTATTGGAGGCTCTTTCAGGGTTAGGGGAATGAGTTAGGGTTAGTAACTGTTATAGTTACTGGTACTGGCATATCAAATATGCCATGGGGAGCTTGCCAGGCTCTGCTCGTGCGGGCGAGATACTCTTGGTAGCTTACCAGAGAGCAGCTTTCTCTCTCTGATTTGTTGCCTACTGTCTGAATTCCATCAAACATGGTGTGATAATTATGGAAAATGGGTAAGAGGTATCTTATGATGTGTCGCGTGGCCACTTTGCAGCCGTGCAGTCCATTAAGCAGTCCATTAAGAAGCCTGGAGCTTGGCGGCAGTTGGGTACTGGAGGTCAGCTACCTGGGCTGGGTCCCTTGGGGCGGGGAAGGCTCTCGCCCATCCCCCTCTGGGGCGCCCCAAGTGAAAACAGCTTGGCACAGAGTCTGGTGGCATGGTTATGGGGGCCTCACTTTATACTCCAGTCTGGGAGGAGTAGCCGTGAGTAGAAGGGCAGCTGTGAGTCCAGGGCATTGAGTCCAGGCCGCTTTCCGGATGCTCAGGCCGAGCCTCACACAAAGGTGAAGTCCCGCGGAACCTAGGTAATGAGAAACTTTGTGACCTTGGACTCTGGACTCAAGGGTACTGGGATCAGAGACCCTCTGCCTGCTTCCCCCAGTCTCCGGTGACCCAGGGGCCACACCCGTAAGCCACACCCTGCTGGCACCAGAAAATCTTCTCATCGACCACCGTCCAGAACTCACGGCTGCTCCTCCCAGACGGGAGTATAAAATGAGGCCCCCAGAACCATGCCAGCGGACTCTGCGCCAGGCAGTTTTCACTCAGGGTGCCCCAGAGGGGGGTGAGAGCCCTCCCTGCCCCAAGGGACCCAGCCCCAGCAGCCGACCTCCACTAATTTATTTCAAATTTTGAAATTCACAACTTTTTAAAAATTCACTATTAAGAGTTCCTTTCCGTCTAATAACAATCCCTCTTAACGCTATATAAATAAGTATTATTCTGGTGAGGTGCGTGTGTGTTTTTGCGTGTGGCGACACTTTCCAAACTGCCTGTTTGACAGTTTTCAATAAGTCTATTTTGTTGATGAAATAAATGCTTGCTTTCCCTTTGAGTCAGCATCCCATTCAGAAGTCATTTCCTCCTACACCAAATCTTCCAAATCCAGTTCTCATGCCCTTCACCATTAGCCGACCTGTAAGAATGAATGCCAATCTAGTTGTGCACAAGTATACCTTGTCAACAGGAATATGGTCTGAGAAATGTGTTGCTAGGCAATTTCATTGTTGTGCGAATCTCAAAGAATGAAATTACACAAAGATGCAGATGGTAGAGCCCATTATACACCTAGGCTATATCCTACGGTCTATTGGGACCACTGTCATATATGCAATCTGTCATACCGAAATGCTGGTAAGCAACAGATGGTATTGACCCACCATCAGTGACTATAAAATGGTTCAGATTTATCTTAAATATTCTGTCAAAGGGGCTGGAGCAATAGCACAGCAGGTAGGGCGTTTGCCTTGCACGCAGCCAACCCAGGTTCGATTCCCAGCATCCCATATGGTCCCCTGAGCACCGCCAGGGGTAATTGCTGAGCACAGAGCCAGGAGTAACCCCTGTGCATAGCCAGGTGTGACCCAAAAAGCCAAAAAAAAATTTTTTTTCTGTCAAAGAACCCCAGGAGCAATTCAAAAGCACACAATTTGAGAACACAAAAGAAGGTAGATAAACAGGCTGGGCTTTCGCTCAAATGGCAAATGAGGCCCTGAGTTTGCTCCTGCCACCACAGGGTCCCCTGGGAACCATGGGGTGTGGTCCCGCAAATTAGGCCTTTTATGTGCCCTCCCCCCCCCCCTTGGCCTCCCCAGAGGCGCTCAGGGAACACTCCCTGAGATTCTCAAGTCTGAGGGGTTTGATGCTCATGCTTCATGGTGCTAGGGGCCACCAGAGTCACAGTGCTGGTGCCATGGACCACTGGGGCCACAATGGCAATTTTCAAGGGGGCATGTGGTACTAAGGACCAGGAGGCCATGTGCTGTCAGGGATCAGACTCCAGGGGTCCTTCTGAATGCCCTGAACTATCTCCTTAGCACAAGTTAGGTCTTTATAAAATACAATCTGTTTTATTATTTGCTGACTGGTGTGTCATTAAGAATCTTACTGTAAATAAATGCCATCATTTAAAAAGACTGAGTTGACACTAAGACTGTAATTCTAAATTTGTTGTTAAAAAGGATCTTTCACAGTACATTAAAGAGACAGCTAGTGTCTGAGACACAAAATCTGCTAGACTCTGTGAAACCTTTGTCCCATTTTAAGACATCTGTGCCTCAGCATATTAGAACATAAGTATGAGGACGTCTGTGCTGTAGAGTTTTAAGCTGCCTGTCTCTGAGAATTTCAGCTGTACCAGAGAGCAACTAGTTAAAGACTAAACTTATTAGTATTTGGGATAATTATCACAAAAAAGGGGCCAAGGCAATATGGTGGGGCACTTGCCTTGCACACAGTCAACCCCGGGTTTGATCCCCAGCACGTCATGTAGTCCCTAGAGTCCACCATGAGTAATCCCTGAATACAGAGCCAGTAGCAGGTCCTGAGCGCTGCCAGGTATGGCTTCCCTCACAAGAAACAAACAAAACCCAAAAAAGATCGTAAAGAGGACCAGATTCAATGATGATATGAAAAATATATAATTAAACATAAGATTCCATTGCATAAAAAGAATGTTAAAGAATATTAAGTATTCTTTTATGCTATTGAATTTTTATGTTTAATTATATATTAAGTATACTTTGTATGCTTCTAGATTTTTATATCAGTGAATTCTAATACTAAAGTGCAAGAAGACGGTATCATGCAATCTGCCACTACATGGATGGAAATGGGGTTATGGTACTAAGTGAAGTCAGGGAGGGGAGGAACAGACACAGTGATCTCTCTCATGTAGAGAGCCAGGAAATAACAAATGCCCAAAGGCAATAGAAATTGAGACCTGGTGGAAGGAACTGAGCTGGGGAGTGGGGGTGGGGGAACTGGGACAATGGTGGTAGAGAGAAGTGGACACCAGTAACAGTTGCAGTGATCAAAGGTGGTTCTTATAATGCCCGACCAGGAACAGTATTGTGAATCACAGTGCTTAAAATAAAATTTTAAATAATAATGTCTCTAGTACTACTATTCCAATTAGCTTGGTAAGGCTTTTAAAAATTATTTTTCTGTCTGGGCCTGAGAGGTAGTACAGTGGGTAAGATGCTTGCTTTGCACTCAGCCACGCCAGGCTCAATCCCAGCACCCCATACGGTCCCCTGAGCCACACCGGCCATGAACCCTGAGCTCAGAGCCAGGAATAAGCCCTGATCAGTGTCTTGTGTGACACCCAATCCCAACAAAATTTTTTTTCATGTTTACTGTGAAGTTTCCATAATAGAAAAGTAGAAATTATTAGAAAAGAACTTCTCAATTTCATTTTCTCTCATTAGGCAGAAACAAATAGACTAGAATTAAACACTGTTTATTTCACTTTCAAATTCTGCAGAAACACTCTTCAACCCTGTACTGAGCTATCCCATGTATTAAAAAAAAAAAAAACGAGGGGGGGGAAGACTGGACCTGGTGCGACTTTATTTTTTATGATCCACAAGCTTTCTCCCATATTGAATACATCAAAAAGAAAGTGAAGGGGCTGGAGTGATAGCACAGCAGGTGGGGCGTTTGCCTTGCACGCGGCCGACCCAGGTTCGATTCCCAGCATCCCATATGGTCCCC